AAAAATGTTATATCTTCGTGTTCGATTAATTCTAGTAATTAGTTCTCTTTGATAAGCAGATGAATGTTATATATCATCATGTTCGACGAATTCTAGTACTTATTCTCTTTCATAAGCAAATGACATCTCAACTTCCCTAATATAAGGCAGCTCTTTGATATCTTGATGTTTAACTCTTTTGAGTATCTAATTCCCTTTCATAAACAAATGAAATCTCAACGTCCCTAATATAAGACAGAAGCAAAGCTGAGGGGTACTTGGTAATTTGAAATTCCCAAAGGACTACTTGTAATTACTCTATACATAATGGTAGTTTTGTAATTTTAAAATTGTATCCGCCATATTTTGAATAATATAATCATACAACAAACGTACCTCAGGTTTAAGATCACGATGCACCACTCCTTGAAGATGGCAGAATGAGACAACATTAAGTATCTGTATCATCACTGTTTTTGCATCGTTTTCCGCATACTTGCCACCCCTGTAAAGGCAAAGCTCAATATATTATTATTATGCTGATAATATATATTGCAGAGTTCTCTAATCCAAAAAATAATAAACAAACAAAAAGTTAAGAGGTTCCTATGTTTTCTTAACTGCATACATAATTCCAGAAGATAAAAAGGAGATACCTCGAAAGTATTCGATCCAAAAGCTCGCCACCTTCACATAACCTGAATATGAAGTCCGTGAATGAGTAAATGCTTCAAGAAAGATAATTCTAAAATAATTACAGAGATCAAAATCAACTGAATATGATGCCAATATTTAGCCGAAAAGTCACCAAATCAAAGCTTACTCCATCACAATGTAGACATTGTCGTGGTCTTCAAAAGCATCATAAAACTGAATCAAATTGCTGTGTCCTGTCAAAGCTCGCAATATTTTCACCTCCTTTCTTACGTCTTCAATAGCAATAGCAGTGGTCATCTGAACATTGCAAACAAAGTTACAGATAAAGATTATTAATAGAGTGGACGGTTAATAAATAGAACTATTTACAGTCATTGCCTACCATGAGAGTTATACTATAGCAATCAAAGATGATTTCAGATGAAATTCACGAGACATGACCTTTATAAACTAATCATAGCAAGGGTGAAAAAACAGAAATGATACCTGCCGAACCAATAATTTCAGCATTACCTTACTATTAATACAATTTCATATCCCACCTAAATGCAAAAATCCTGTTTTGCTGCTAGTTGATAGATAATGTGAGGAGAAAGTCAAACCCTAACGGCCATGGAGGTCAAGCGAACAGCTGAAGTTCCTGAAATTCTTATTTTTAATGGAATATGCCTAGAGCAAACAGATGGTCTTTTCTTATGTATACTTTAATCATTTCACTGCCTCCTGCTACGACATTGACTTGCATTGTGCAAAAAAACTTCGATACACATCTTCCATCACCTCACCATCCCAATCACATGAAGTCAACTACTTAAGGCAATGTCAGCACAAAAAACCAAACTCTGATCAGTTGACTGTATTATTTTCTTTACAAAAATAGTTTTTTTTTTTTTTGGGTAAGGTCACTCAAATTTCAGCTTGTTTAGCTCAAAATCGTTTTTAATCAAAATTCATCATTTACCTAATTGAGGCACTTTCAGACATTTAGCAAGCTACGACCGATTGTAAATTTGTAACAGAACCCACATTCTAATCAAAACTCATCCTTGCAGACTACAAGTAAATGCTCAAGTTGAATTAACAACCAACAATACTTCAAATGCAAAAAAATTGCAGACAAGTCCAATAGATCATATCTTCTTCAATACAACAACACAAGTCAAACAAAAAAAGATCAAGAATTAGGTAATAATCACTGTAAGCACCAAACTAAGAGAAAAAAAAAACAGAACAAGTCCAAACCTTTGCTTTGGGAATGACCTTAACAGCAACTTCTTGCCTCTTGAGCTCCCCTTTCTTGAGCTTGGCCCGACATGTATACCCAAAATGCCCTCTCCCAACTTCTTCCCCGAGCTCATACCTGTCATAAAACTTCTTGGAGAACCCGAAGCTCTTGTCCAGACCTGACGCATCTGAAACCTCATTCCCCTCCGGAATTGCCGCCTCGTTTGGCTTCACGGAGCCATGCCGCCGAGCGAGAACCGCCTTGATGTGCTTTGCTGGAGACGGAGGTGGAAACGGACGCTTGAAAAACCTCCTCGGCGTCCCGGTCCCCGGTGCCGGAGACCTCGCCGGAGACTTCTTCGAGAACAGGTAATGGGCTGGGCTGGGGCTGTAGAAAAAGGGGAAGAACGGTGATTTTCTCCCTTTGTCCACGGCGTTTTCGCCGTTGTTGTCGTTCTCCGGCGCAACTGGGTTTTCCCTATTCTGGGCTTGTACCTGCTTGTCCTGGGATTGTACCTTGATTTCACCTGATGAAGGAAAATCAGGTTCTTGGATGGGTTTCGGTTTAGAAGTGCAAGCCCCCATTTTTCTTTACCCCAAATGACGAAACAATGAATTCAAGAAAACAAAC